GAACCCTGAGGACAACCTGAGACATCTTGAAACATCCTGAGACCAAGAACCCTAAGGACATCTTGAGACAAAGAACCTTGAGGACATCCTGAGACAAAAGAACCTTGAGGACATCCTGAAACATCCTGAGACCAAGAACCCTGAGGACAACCTGAGACATCTTGAAACATCCTGACACCAAGAACCTTCAGGACATCCTGAGACATGTAGAGACATTTTGAGACTCCCTCATGAATGAAGTCCAGCTGGTCTCAGCTCTGCATCCTAAAGCAGCTGAGACCCCCCCCCCCCCCCCCCGGTGCTGGTTTTGTCCCCTGAATGTGTCCAGCACGTCAGAACTGATTGAGAACTCTGGCAGCCCAGATGAGGTGAAGAGATGGAGCTGCAGCTGCCTAGTCTTAATCAGAACATCAGCCTGATTCTGGTTCTGTGGACTTTCCCTCCTAATGAGTGAACATTAGAAAATGTAAACTGTGTCCAATCAAGCCCCCCCACCCCTCCCCCACACAGCAGATGAATGACTTCATCACAGAGTGGTGCAAAAACTTCCTGCGAGGGACTGAGACCTCTGTTCTGCTGTGGAACCAGCTGAGGTTCTGTTGGACCCGATGAGCAGTGCAGCAGCTTAGTGAGACCAGAACAAAGATCACATCCAGATCCCCTCAGAAACTTTCAACAAATGATAGATTCTGTTAGAAATGAACTAAAGTTGAGACAAAAGAACTTCAGGTTCTCCTCGGCGCCGTAACAAGAACCTCCACCAACAGAATCACCGGACCTCTTCCTGTCTGAAGGTCAGAGAGAAGAAGAGCTGCTAATCATCTCAACGTCTCATATTTCAGACTAATGTCTCGTTCAGTCTGCTCTCCACCTCCAGCTTTCTGTCTGCACATTGAGAAATCTCAAACTGGGCAAAGACCCAACAAAGGCCCGGCAGGCAGAGCACCCCAGAACCAGGTTTCAGGCTGAAAACTGGAGACGTGACAGGCAGGAGTGATTTACAGACCAGCACATGTTGGTAATTACACACATCCTCCATGAGACGCTCATTTGTGATTACAGGAACACGATGAAGCTGCCAGACCATCCTGATTCGGCGCCGCGGTTTGATAAGAACCCGGTTGCTTCATCAAGAACAGATAAGAGCTGAGCGGTGAGGGGTGTGCATCAGCTGCAGACTGAGGCTCTAAGACCTGCAGAACTGAGAACCGATTCCAAGATCTAATTGAGCTGAGTGAAACCAGGAGGTCCTGATAGATGGAGAACATATACTGAGAAGCGATGGACAAACTTTTGGTTTGAATCGAATTGAAAACAGATGAGAAGAAGGGAGGGACGAGGGGGGCTCCCTGAGGGAACCCAAGGGTTTCAACAACAACTGAACGTCTCCAGCTGATGGTTGAATGTCTGAAAGCTGCTTTCTGATCTTCTTCCCTAAAACAAAAGAGTCCGAACACGTTTTGGTTTGTTTGATTTCAGGAGCGGAGAAGAATATATCTGATTAATTCTAATAAAAAATAACTCGTTAGGACAGAGACGAAGCTCTGAGTTGGTTTTGAGACTCTGAGGACGGAGACAAACCCCTAAATTAGTTTTGAGACTCTATGAGGACAGAGATGAAGCTTAGTTAAAGTCTTCAGACACTGAAGACAGAGACAAAGCTCTGAGTTAGTTTTGAGACTCTGAGGACAGAGACCATCCATCCATTTTCTTCCACTTATCCGGGGTCGGGTCGCAGGAGTAGCAGCCTAAGTAGGGAGGCCCAGACTTCCCTCTCCCCAGCCACTTGGTCCAGCTCCTCCGGGGGAATCCCGAGGCGTTCCCAGACCAGAGAAACATAGTCCCTCCAGCGTGTCCTGGGTCTTCCTCTGGGTCTCCTCCCAGTGGGACGTGTCTGGAACACCTCACCAGGGAGGCGTCCAGGAGGCATCCTAACCAGATGCCCGAGCCACCTCAACTGGCTCCTCTTGACGTGGAGAAGCAGCGGCTCTACTCTGAGTCCCTCCTGGATGATCGAGCTTCTCACCCTGTCTCTAAAGGAGAGCCCAGACACCCTGCGGAGAAAACTCATGTCGGCCGCTTGTATCTGAGATCTCATTCTTTCGGTCACAACCCAAAGCTTGTGACCATAGATGAGGGTAGGAACGTAGATCGACCGGTAAATTGAGAACTTCGCCTTTTGATTCAGCTCTCTCTTCACCACGACAGACCGGTACAGCGCCCGCTTTACTGCAGACGCTTCACCTAGCCGCCTATCAATGAGGACAGAGACAAACCCCTGAATTAGTTTTGAGACTCTGAGGACAGAGACAAATCCCTGAGTTAGTTTTGAGACTCTATGAGGACAGAGACAAAGCTTAGTTAAAGTCTTCAGACACTGAAGACAGAGACGAAGCTCAGAGTTAGTTTTGAGACTCTGAGGACAGAGTCCTGCTCTGAGACAACTCTTACTGTTGGAGTCAGACTGAATAAAAACCTTGAGCAGGAGAAAATTAAACTTCATCTCTCAAATTAAAATAAATCAATGTGAAGAAATGTGCAGAACTTAAGGAACTCTTCTAAAAGCTCCATGTGACAAGTTGACAGGTTTTACCTTAAAAGGACAAAAGTTCAATAAAAACTTAATTTATCACCAAATCATGAAAAATCAGAATGTCCAGAGAAAAGAAGAGATTTGAAAGAAGCAGCTCTGATCTGAACAGCTGCCTCGTCTCTACAGTCACTGATGAACTCACAGATCTGCGGCTCTGCGTCCACTCGCTCCTCCGTCCAAACATCGAGTCCCACAGACAGGAGGGGAGGAGGCACCTCCATCCCTCTGCAGGACACACCTCCATCCCTCTGCTCCCCCTCTATAAGAAACACCTCCATCCATCTGCTCTTACTCTACAAGAAGAGACGGGCGCGCTGCCTTTAAAACAGAAGAAGAAGAGTCGAGTGTGCCACTTTAAAACAGAAGAAGAAGAAGAGTTGAGTGTGCCACCTTTAAAACAGAAGAAGAAGAGTAGATTGTGCCACCTTTAAAACAGAAGAAGAAGAGTCGATTGTGCCACCTTTAAAACAGAAGAAGA